CCAAGATGTATCCAATGACCCCTATAAATCCACATTCATTTCACATTTTGGAAATAGAAAATACAATATATCAATTGAGTTAATCCCTTCCCGCTATCATTGCAGCCCCAGCCCCTGTACAGGAGAGCAGAAGACCTTGTCTATTCAGCCACGCCAACAATTCCCTTTAAAGACTGAAATTTCAGACACTTTAGAAGAGTATGGGGCATCGCAGGCCAACAAAAGAAGCCAAACGACCCCCATTCCAAAGGTTTGGACCCCTTGGTCTGTTCCAATTAGCACGTTTTCAAAACAAAAACAAGGCTTTGTTGAGCTACTGTATAAAACCTTGAAGTCAACGCTATTCCTGACAGTTTGAATTTAAAAAGCTTTCAGGATGAGAAGCAAAATGTCTTCGAACGTCGACAAAAAGTCCAGTGGTTTGTTTAACTTTTTTGGGAATATTAAAGAGCTTCAGTCTTTTGGGAACTTGTCTTCAGTGTCTGTGAGTGTGCAGCAGACATGTTTTCATGGTCATCCCTTTAGCTGTGGGCGAGTCACTGAAAATCTCCCAGTCCACCTTCACGCCAGAGTATACACATCTGTAGGACTGGTGATGTTTTACTGCATGGTACAGCATGGTACAAAACGTAGAGAAAAAAGCGCTGGTGGAAGAGTTTTCTGCAGCACATTTATTACTTTTATGTTTATTCGTACTCGGATGCCTTTCAGTTGCAGCTTTCCCTGGACTGCTTCCGTCCACATCGCATCGACAAAGTACAGAAGCCATGGAATGCGTCTCAACTACTTCTCGTCATAAATCCACGCTCTTTTGTCCATTCCCAGTTAAATGAGGTCTTGCGTTTTGGCATGATGCTAACTTTCTGTCAATGTATAACAGCAGCACTCTGATCCCTGTTTTCTTATTTAACCAATGACAATCAGATATTTATCTGACACGGCACCACTCTTAGCCAATCATCTGTTAGACCAAGTAGTGGATGCATATTTTAACATTCTATTATTGGATATTGGGCTACAGTGCAGCAAAAATGGAAAAAATCCGGCTGGATGCGGCGTTGCACGCTGGACAATGACTGTCAGACTGTCAGGCCTAGAGCTGAACATCTGGCCACCCTAGCATGGGATCACTTATTAGCTTATCCTGTTCTAACACTTTTCCTGTCACTGCAAGACCTGGTAGGCCTACATATCTTGATCTCTATAGTGAGAAAGTTGAGATGCGTCAAATGGTCAGCAAAAACTTGTCAATGGTTTCAATGGTTGTCAATGGATGTCAGTGGTTGATAGCCTAGCCAGGAGACGGACAGCAGTTGTATTAGTGAAGGTTTTGCAGGCCTCACCTGTAAAACTCAGAGGAATGTGCAGATAGCTTGTTCTGAGTCGACTGTGGGGGTTTGAAAGCATAATATCGGATCTCAGGGGGCCCAGAATGTCCTTTAACTCTTCTCCTCTGGTAGTGAGTGCCAGTTTAAAATCTGTAAGCACTTTTTACCAATCCTACATCCTGGTCCAACCAATGTTCAATATTCCGTCCATTCAATTATTAATCTCATGGTTGTGCGGCTCAAGAAGGGTGATGATGGCAGGTTCTTCAGAACTGGGCCCAGTGTCTGTTTGAACCTGCTCATTTCCTGTCCTCTAGTTTCAGACAATGCAGAGCCTAACTGTGTGAACCCAGAGCCTCCCAGTTTCTCAGTAAGGTCTGATTTGACCTCATGGTTTAAGCCAGTAGTTCTTTATATCTGTTTTATTTTCTGCTTGTCGTCGGATTATTTTGCTGCTGCCTTTTTGACATTATTTTCTTTTTGTTGCACAATGAATTCTCAAAGTGATGCTGCAGTTATGAAAAATCTCTGATACATATAATAAAAACATCCTTATTAGAGGAGGAGAAGTCGTGAAGCAGAGCATTTCTGACCCCCTCTGGACTCTGAACTTGCAGTTATGCTTCATGTGGGGCTTTGATAGCAAAGAAGACATGTGACACGTCTGCTGGGAAGGTCACTGTCTGCTAACACCACATCCAGCTCGCCTCCCTGCAGCTGTTTCTCCTCTGAATCACATTTTATTAAATGTCAATCAGGCAGATTCTGAACCAGAACCAGGTGTGAGCTGGTTTGGTCCAGTAATGGTTTGGATCTTTAAGATATTAAATCTCCAAATTATCAGTCTTGCCTTTTCCTTACCAGAACCAAAAAGAGCATAAAGAAGGGCTGCTTAGAGTCCAGATTTTCATTTTAATCTTTAATGAAACATAATTATCATAGATTTAATTAATAAAAAGCGGAATAACAGGGGATTCAGGGCCACAAGCTGCCACTAGTTTATTTGACATTTTTATGTGACCTTGAAGGAAAAAATTATTAATGGATTTAAAAGTTCTTAAAGATTTTGTTTTGTTTTTTTAATGAGAAATACTCAATTCGAATGTTGGGTTAGAATTATTTAGAATAAGAGAAACAAAGCTATGAAGGAAAAAAATAACCATGTGTAAATATTTGCAACGAAAAAGAAACAGTTACAGAGCAAACAAATTAATTAAGACATCTCTTGAATAACAACAACAAAAAATAAAAGGTTACAAAAATTCATAGATTTATATTTTAGAGGGAAAAAAAACAGTTCAGCAGATTTATCTAAACAGATTCATACTAAACAGTTTTTGTTATAAACAGAGAAAAAAGGTAATTCAAATTACTTGTTAACTTAAATATCTCTAATACCCAACGTTTTCTGAAAGTCCAGGTTTAAAAATAAAATCCCAGTTCTTATGGGTCCAAAATGTCCTCGTTGTCAGATGATCTATTTGCTCCCAGTTGTTCTATAAAGTTCAGGGACTCGTCTTAAAGTTGATCATTCCTACAAATGTTACCTGAGTGCCTGGTTGTTCAGCGTGGTTCTTCTGGAAGATGGACCTCCAGCTCAGTCTCAGACCTTAAGTTTAGCTCCACCCATCATGATGCTGCCACCACCATGCTACAGCATGGGAATGCTGAATTAGGGTGATGTTTGGTCTCCTTTGCTCAGAAACTAGAGTCAGGCAAATCGTTGCAATTGAATATAATTATAATTTTACTAAAAAAATCTTCAAATTTTGGAGTCACTCAGTTTGGTCATGTTTCATTTAACCGGAATAAGACATTCACGTTCTCCCTCCTGAACTTAAAGTGGCAGCAACACACTCAAAGTGGATTTTTTCTTTCACACAGAAGACAGAGAGAGGCTGAATCTCAAACCGCTCCCTAAACACTAAAACTTAACTATGTAGTGTCACTTCCAATGAAGTCTCACTCGCATGTGTGGAAGGAACCTTAAATAAAGGTGTGTGTGTGTGTGTGTGTGGTGGTGTGCGGGGTGGGGTGGGGGGGAGGTAAACGAGAATAGGGCGGCCTCTCTCCCCAGGGAAAAAGAAGGCAGTTGTTGCTAAGGCAACACAGTGACTGTAGGTCTGTGGCTCAGGGTGACATAAAATCTACCATTTGCCCCTTTCTTAAAACCAATGTATACGACAGTGTTATGAAGATGCAGCAAACCAGTGGAACTTTTAAATGCAGGTTTTTCCCCTGTCATCAGGCCACTGTTACACCTGCTGCTGATTTGCACTGATGCAGACTCTCTATGTAAGGGCTAAAAATTACACTCACCCTACTCACTACATGGTTTGTGATGGCCCTTAATGTGGCAGACCCTCAGTGAGAATGTGCAAACGTAGGTTTAGTGCTGAGTGTTAGTGCTGAGGGTTTGGGTTTGGGCCAGAGTTACAAAAAGTAGATCCACGCATTAGAGCAGAAGTAAAAACTTCTCCACACAACATTAACAGTAAAGTTCTGGACAATTGACTCTGGATAAGCAAAAACAGAAACATTGAAAGGAAACAGCTCCATGTTTGCTGTTAGTGCAGAAAAAAAATCTTAATATTGGTTGAAAAATATTGCAATTAAAATTTTTTGGGCTAAATCTTTCAGCCGTATTAGAACCGCAAATCAAATAACGCAGTTATCAGCAGAACTCTGCAGAACTTGATCGGTTTATTGATTTCTGCCTCTGGGCAAGGCACTAAACTTCATCTTACTTCCTGACCTGCATAGTTTATGAAGGTTCACATGTTTGAAAGAGCAGCTGGGGGAACATGGCCTCAGCGTGCATTTGTGGTTTGAGTTTTCATTACGGCCAAAAAAGCTTCAAAAATTTCAAACATATATATGTTTGAACATAACATATGTATATCTATTTATATGTTAAAACATTGTCCTGCCGAAACCAAACAACTGTTTGGTCTGAAATATCTGATTACTCATCATTGCATCCCTTACAAGGTAAACAAGAATCAATAAATACATTTCAACAGTTGACTTTTCTATATAAACATCACCTGAAAAAAATGAAAACTGAACCAATATAATTTTATTTATTTCAATTTTGCAGCAGTTTGCTCAGATTATTTTTCTCTTAAAAGCCAAAGATTAATATCTGCTTATTTTTTGTAATAAGAAAATATTGTTTCAGTTATTTATTATAACATTTATCTTAGAGTTAAAGACTAAATTAAAAAAGTTAATCAGTTAATACCAGTTAAAAGATAATGAAGTCATCAAATTTAAAAGGGCAAATTAATTAAACATATAAAAGCATAAATATCATTAAAGTGATTAATACATTAATTGTCTAAATCAAGTCAATGACAAGCTAATACATTTGAAAAGAAACAAATAAATGAACAAGACTTAAATTGATAATATTTGTTAAAAAATTATTAGTTGATTACGGTTAAAAGGTAATTAATAAATTAATCAAATCAGGGTAGGACGTAAGACAAGGACATTAATTAGTGAGCGGAGCATCCTCCTCCTGCTCCTCCTCCTCTCCTTCATCACTCTCGACAGCTTTCCATTTTTCTCCATCTGCCTTCCTCTAAGTGATTAAGGCTCCGTAATCCTGCTGTATGACATTACAGCAGAGAGGAGGAGGAGGAGGAGGAGGAGGAGCAGTGGTGCTCTGTTAGAGCTCAGTAAGATGCTCAGTTACCGACGGCAACACTACGATGCCACACGACCAGTGGTGAGTCTGACATCTCCTCCTTTGTTTATATTGCTGTCATTGTGTTTATGATGTTTTCCCCAGAGGAGAGCATCAGGTTATAGATCCATTAGCAGAGAGGAAGACCTGCAGTGTGTTTATGTGTGGACATGTCCTCTAACCACCATGAGCCGACGGCGGAGAGTAAATCTGTGTGTGTGTTTGTGTGTGTGTGTGTGTGTGTGTGTGTGTGTGTCCAAAGGTAAACAGAGGCAGCAGTGTGAGGGAGAAGATCTCTGCAGAGCAACATGTTCACAACTGAAAGGAAAGAATAAATTTAGAAAATCCCAAATTAGATCAAAACCTTTGCTGGAATAAAAGAAAAGATAAATTTCCACATGAAAGTGTAGAAATCTGTGTTTTTCTCTTTGCAGCTGATGATGATGGGGATGATGGAGGTCAGAGGTCGTTTCATGTTCTGGTTCAGCTTTAGGGCTGTGGGACAAAAATTTAACTGAGGACATCAGTGTGTGTGGGGGGGGGGTGTTTAGAAGCAGCAGCGTCCTGCTTTCTTCCCGCTGTTGTTTACAACATTTTCCTTTTTTCTAGTAACAGGGATTCATTTGTTTTCTCTCACACACAAAACAAAAACCAGCAATAAAGGAGTGAAGGCTGCAGACTACCTGCAGGGAGGCAGAAATAGATCCACTCTCAGTTACTCACTTCTGCTCAGAAGGATAAAAACCTTCCTTACTGAAGGGATCCATTGCGCCCCCTGTGGCCACCAGGCGCATCACACCAGCCCTGTTAGTAGCTGTTCTAAAAACAACAGCTACAGGCTGACAGTGAGAGGCTGTGCTGCCATCTGCTCTGGCCGCTCCATGTCTGTGAAAATGGCTCCAACAACGCCTCCTGCTGCAACGTGCGTTCAGGTCCAGACGTCTGTTGTTGTTTTTATTAGATCATCTCTACTAGTGGGAATTAAACAACTTATAATGGCTGCTGTCTCACTGAGTAGTTCTGAGTGGTCAGTATCTTCCCTGCAGCAGCCTGGCTGACCTCAGACTGGAGAGTCATGGAGAAAGTCTCATGGAGGATCTAATGGCTCCAGAAACCGGGAACTCTGAACCAAATCTGGGAGCGTTCAGGGAACGCTGCATCGTTCTCCAATCAGACATCTGTGGAAAAACATCCTGCCATGGTTCCCCGTTGGCTCCCAGCTCTGGTTCTCAGCGGTCTCTGCCCTCCATGTTCCCGCCTGATTCAAGGATTGCATCATCTGATCAGAGGCTTGTTATTCACACATCCATGTGCAGCAGCAGGTGAAGGATCCTGAGGGCTCTGACAGAAAGCAGGTGTTTTCCTTTTAATGTCTGCATGTTCTCGGAGATGCTGTAAACTGTCAGAGTCATTAGGCATCGCCGCAGGTACCTCACAGCCAGACGTCCCTGTAGATCCTTCTTTTTTCATCACTTTTTTTTTGTTTCTGATGCTACTGCATGGAGATGAGACGGCTGCTGCTGCTCCACAGACAGAAACAACAGGAGGTCTTAGATTTAAACATCCCAAACCTTCCAGTACCTCCAATACCATCCAGTTTGCAGTCTTAGGGTCTTTGATCTGTTTCTCTGTCCTCACTGTTTGTTCTTCCTGAACAGAACAAGGTTTTCCAGCATTGATTCCATTTTATTTTTTATTTGAACAGATAAGCTTGTTAACGGTGAAAACTTTAATTCTTCCATTTCCATTAATAATTCCCTTCATCAGTTTAAAGGAAAAGTCCGGTCATATTCAGAATTCAAACTTCTGAAAGT